TGTCATAGGGCAACATGTGTACTAAATGTTAAATGAGAAACTATTTTGTTCTGTAAGCCTTCATCTAAAGTGAGAATAGCAGCACAACTGGAAGAGCATAGTCTATGTCACTGAACTGTGCATGTAGAAATTTTTGAAATGGTGTATCTTTGGCTATGTATATTTTCACCAAATAAAAAAGGTCGAGAAGGGAGAGAGTTGACATGTTGTGGGGTTGTTAACCAATGTCATAAAAAAATATGTGTACTACTGTTTCGTGAGAAATTATTTGTTCTGTAAGCCTTTACCTGAAATACAATCAAAAAAAAAAAAACTTAAAAAATAAAAAAAAACCATAAGAACATGTTGTAGTATGTATCATTAATTATTTCTTCAAGAATAGTTTTCAGTATTTTCAACTCTGTGAATATACTAAAAGCCACTGACAAACTCTTACAACATAACCACTTACAAAAGAATTCTAACATAACAATGAAAAGACAAATAACTCAAATAAAAATGGCCAGAGAATTTGAATAGATATTTTTCCAAAACATATATACAAATTGCCTTCAAACACATGAAAACTTGGTCAACAACACTAGTCATTAGGGAAATGCAAATCAAAACCACAATGTTATACAACTTCAAACAAACTAACTTGGCTATAATTAAAAAGACAGACTATAACAAGTGTTGACAAGGATGTGGAGATATTGGAACCCTCATACATTGCTGATGGGAATGTAAAATTGTGCAACCAATTTGCAAAACAGTTTGGCAGTTCTTCAAATATTAAACATAGCTATTGTATGACCCAGCATTTCCACTCCTAGGAATACTCATTAGAAATGAAAACATATGCCACACAAAAACTGGTACATGACTGTTCATAGCAGAATTATTTGTAATAGCCAAAAAGTGAAAACAAATGTCCATCAACTAATAAATGGATAAATACAATGTAATCTATCCACACAATGGAATGTTATTTGGCAAGAATAAAAATGTACTGACACATACTACAACATGGAATGAAAACATTATGCTAAGTGAAAGAAGTTAGACACAAAAGACCACCTATTTAATGATTCCATTGATATTAAATGTCCAGAATAGGCAAATCCATAGACAGAAAGTAGAATAGTGATTACTAGGGCTGGAGAGCAGGAAGGAGAATGCAGAATGACTGTTTTTGAGTATGGGGCTTCTTTTTGGGGTGATGAAAATGTTCTGGAATTACATAATGGTGATAGTATACTCCACTTTGTGAATATACTAAAAACCACTGAATTGTGTATGTTTAAAAGAGTTAATTTTATGATTGTTGTTATCGTTAGGTGCCACTGAGTCAGTTCAGACTTATAGTGGCCCTATATACAATAGAACAAAATACTGCCCAGTCTTGAGCATTCCTCACAATCGTTGCTATGTTTGAGCCCATTGTTGTAGCCACTGTGTCAATCTATCTCCTTCTTGGTCTTGCTCTTTTTCACTGAGCCTCTACTTTACCAAGCATGATGTCCTTCTCCAGGGAGTAGTCCCCCCAATAAAATGTCCAAAGTACGTGAGACAAAGTCTCACCATCCTCACTTCTAAGGAACATTCTGGCTGTACTTCTTCCACAACAGATTTATTCATTCTCTGGCAGTCTATGGCATATTCAATATTCTTCACCAACACCATAATTTTAATGCATCAATTATTCTTTGATCTGTCCAGCTTTGGAAGCATATGAGGTGATTGAAAATACATGGCGTGAGTCAGGTGTACCTTAGTCCTCAAACTGACATCATTGCTTTTTAACACTTTAAAGAGGTCTTTTGCAGCATATTTGCCCAATGTAATACGTCATTTGATTTCCTGACTGCTGCTTCCAGAGGCAGTGATTGTGGATCCAAGTAAAATGAAATCCTTAACAACGTCAATATTTTCTCCGTTTATCTGGATGTTGCTTATTGGTCCAGTTGTGAGGATTTTTGTTTTCTTTATGTTGAGGTGTAATCCATACTGAAGGCTAATAGTCTTTGATCTTCATCAGTAAGTGCTTCAAGTCCTCTGCACTTTCAGTAAGCAAGGTTGCGTCATGTGCATATTACAGGTTGTTAATGAGTCTTCCTCCAATTCTGATGCCGAGTTCTTCTTCATATAGTTCAGCTTCTGAGATATTTGCTCAGCATACAGACTGAGTAAGTATGGTGAAAGGATACAACCCTGACATACACCTTTCTTGATTTTAAACCACGCAGTATCCCCTTGCTCTGTTCAAACAACTGCCTCTTGGTCTACAGACAGGTTTCGAATGAGCACAACCAAGTGTTCTGGGATTCCCATTCTTCGCAATGTTATTCGTAATTTGTTATGATCCACACAGTTCAATGCCTTTGCATAGTCAATAAAATTACAGGTAAACATTTTTAGTATTCTCTGCTTTCAGCCAAGATCCATCTGACATCAGCAATGACATCCTTTGTTCCACATCCTCTTCTGAATCCACCTTGAATTTCTGGCAGTTCCCTGTCAATGTACTGCTACAACCACTTTTGAATGATCTTCAGCAAAATTTTACTTGCATGTTATGTTAGTGATATTGTTCTATAATTTCCACATTCCTTTGGATCACCTTTCTTTGGAATGGGCACAAATATGGATCTCTTCCAGCAGGTTGGCCAGGAAGGTGTCTTCCAAATTTCTTGGCATAGATGACTGAGCACTTCCAGCGTTGCATCGGTTTGTTGAAATATCTCAATTTTATGGTAGTGAATTATACCTCAATTTTTAAAAAAGAGAAGTAGGGAATGAATACCAATATCTTAGATGGCTTGCTCCAAGGACACAAATATTTGGAAATCTTGTTCTTAAACACTATCTTCTCCTTTTTAAAACAATCCAAATTTTCCTAGGTGGACTCAGATTCTGGTTTCTCAAAATGTATCTGCTTTTTAAGAGTGACTTCTCTGTTGAATTATACTTGTTTCCTTATATGTTTGTCTTCATCAGATTGTAACCTCCTTGAAAACAGACAGTAAGCCTTTTCACTATTTTTATCCCCAATACAGGGACTGTCATACAGCTGGGGCTCAAAAAATATTAGTTAAATGAACTAACACACAGAATATGCAGCACCACTCCACCAACTAAAGACATCTGGTAACCAAAACATGGTGTTTTCCCTAACAAAGTACATAAATGCATTCTCTTCATAAATTTTGTTTCAGTTCTTCATCTATTTCCTTTCACTTTAGATATGTTAGCAAAATGGGAAAAATAGGCAAGAAAGAACTTATTTTGAGTATTTGTCAAAACTACACTCCTTATTTCAATTCATTCATCTCAATCACAGAAATAGCCGGAAACGGAACTGCTAAATCTAACTGATTTCAACCATTTACATGTAATTCTTATGGAGTCCATTTTCACACTGGTAATGAAAACTATCTTTTCTACACCTTTATTATAAGTTAGCAGCCCTATTCTTTACTCTAAATTAAGCTTCTATTGACAGCTCATTGCAAGTAGATTAGAAATTAGAATTCATGTTGTTTTTACCATTATTCCATTGAACCTGAAATATCTAAAATGTATGAATTCTTATTAATACCTTTTATCACCACAGCTTCGTCAGTGTAGAGGTAGTCCAAAATAACTTGCAGTATGTCAGAATGTATTGGCATTTCTAGAGCCGCACAACTGGAGGCCTAAATAAAATAAAATAATTTTTTTAACAATAGAATACTATTACATTTAGATTACTGGTACTAAAAACTCTGAACAGGAAATCACATCAAATACAAAAGAACACAGAATTTACAAAACACAAAGCTAAAATAAGATATTTTAAATTTTAAAACATCTTACAACATGAAAACAAAAAAAGAAAAACTCAGGAATAAAAAGCACACTGGTATTCCATTTATAAACAATAATGGGAAAGTCTTGATTTAATGGCTTTTTAGCAACAATTTTAATTTCTAAATATTGCTATTTTCCAGTAGGTTTAAGCATAAATAAAGTTCAATACAACAGAAAAAGTGGGCTAAAATATGAATCTAAAGACTAAGATACATATAAACCCTGTGTCAGAGAGAAAGAATGCTAATTGTGTTCAGGACACCATAGTCATTCTGAAATATGTAACTTTCAAAATGTTTAAATATTAATTTTTAAAGAAGAAAAACATACTTTCCAAGAGCATTAAAAAAAATTAATTCAGCTTTGAAGTGATTAATAACAAAATGCTTAAGGCTTGTGAAATTGCTGGGGAAATGCAACGGAATACAGTGGTCTGAACAAACTGGAATGTTACAGGGAATCTACATAATATGCAAAGTATTTCTAGATATTTCTTAATAATACTTTCAAAATAACTAAAACGTTTTTTAAATCGCTTAAAAACCAACCAAAAAAAAGGGGGTGGGGGAAAAATCCCTCCGGAAAAGAAAAAAGATCATAATTTACAATCAACCTCTTTTGATGTTACTCAATCTGACACACTCCAAAGATTTCACATAGGCTAGAACCTTTTCTAGATAAGCAGTCATTATTACCTCACTAATAATTAATCACTGTCCTAATGAACAAGGAAAACTAGCCAACAAAAGTTTGATATATCTAAACAGTCTTAATCATCAATCTAGTTTTAACTTGTTATCAGATCAAGTTTAAATATGAACAAACACTACCTCTACATAAATTGAAATGTAGTGAGTAGCTAATACTAACTTGAGGATAATTCACAATGTATACGCTAAGTTTATAATAATAATTATAATTTATAATTATAATTATTATTATAATAAAAATTTGCACTGGCACAAACTAAAAATTTTAAATTATCAAAAAAAAATCTGAAATTTCTAAGAAACTTAAAAGATAATTCTAATTAATCTATAATCTCTAAATATTGACTCAACAGCAAAAGGTAAAATTAAACAGTGAAGGGAGTTGTTGTTGCTAGGTGCCGTCAAGTCGGTTCCCAGTCATCGCAGCCCTATGTACAGCAGAACGAAACACTGCCTGATTCTGTGCCATCCTCATAACCGTTGCTATGTTTGAGCCCATTGTTGCAGCCACTGTGTCAATCCATCTCGTTGAGGGTCTTCCTCTTTTTCGCTAACCCTCTACTTTACCAAGCATGATGTCCTTCTCCAGGAAATGGTCTCCAGATAACATGCCCAAAGAATGTGAGATGAAGTCTCACCATCCTTGCTTCCAAGGAGCATTCTGGCTGTACTTCTTCTAAGACAGATTTATTTGTTCTTCTGGCAGTCGCTGGTATATTCAGTATGCTTTGCCAAACACCATAATTCTAACGCATCAATTCTTCTTCTTCGGTCTTCCTTATTCATTGTTCAGCTTTTGCATGCATATGAGGTGACTGAAAATACCATAGCTTAGTTCAGGTGCACCTTAGTCCTCAAAGTGACATCTTTGCTTTTTAATACTTTAAAGAGATCTTTTGCAGTAGATTTGCCCAATGCAATATGTCATCTGATTTCTTGACTGCTGCTTCCTTCCATGTGTGTTCATTGTGGATTCAAATAAAATGAAATCCTTGACATTAACATTAACACACACAATGTTTATTATGTCTTTTAAGATGCCAATTCCAATACCACTTCTAAACTTGTATATCATAGTGCTGACAAAACTCAGTTATCAAGTTCCAATTTATAATTTCTTCAGTATACAATTTTCCCAACATATAAAGAAGTAAGTTACCAGCCCATATGCTTTCTACTTAAATCTTACCTCAATCCATGAGCTACTCAGCATACTATGAAAATATTCTGGAAAAAAAAAAATTCAATTCAATAAAAATAGTGAAAAATATTAAAAAAAATAAATTAACAACAAAGAGTACACCCACCTAGTCTGGCACAAAGAACACATTTATGACAAGGAAATTCCTTTCCATCCACTGATTTCATAGTCACATCACACAGAAATGAACTGTAAGAAAAATGTTTAATTGAAGCACATGCAATTTCTTTACGTATTAAGCAAACAAGAATTTGTTACAGAATTGAGCTTAACTTTTGACTTTCTCTTAGTTGAAAGCAGCAGAGAATAAACAACTTGCAGGTATGCATGCAAATAAAAAACTTCACCTCCTTTCATTTCAGGGAAGACGATAAGGGCCTTACAATAAAGACAGTATTTGAAAAGAGAACTGAATACAGATAAATGTTCAAATAAATCTTTCTTCTCATTTTGCTATTTTATTCCAGGCAGGTGTTAATAATATAATAGTAAGTGACATCATATTCAAGGCTCTTTAATTTCATTTATTTGTACAACCTATTCTGTGCCAAGCAGAGTCTAGATACCTCCAATTTCTTTCTTTCTCAAAAACTTATCCCCTACAAAGAAAGTACAAATACCTTAAAAAAAAAAAAAAAAACCTTTTAGTAATACCAAACATATTTAGAATAGTATATTTACTACTGAAAAATTTTATACTAAAGGAATAATCATAATGATGATTAAGCATAATTAGTTTGGATTTTGAGTTAACATCATTTCCTAAGTAGAAGAAGATATAAAATTCAGGCAACAAAAAATAAAAATTAAAGATTACTCTCTTCATTAGAAAGCAATCAGTGAGGGTAAATTCCTTCTATGTCTTATGGAGCAATTAATCTTTTATCCATTTACCTCAACAACTCCCCAACATTTCTAGAAATGAAGATGACTAGAAAAGGTAAAAGGGTATCTACCTACATATTTTGCCTGATATGTAGGTGAGAAGCGCTGTATTTTCACACTTAGGTGCCAGAATCTAGAGATGAAAAGTTTTATCTTTATTTCTTAACTTACCATTTTTTCTGATTTAGCTTTGGTTTATTACCAGTTTTCTTGACAATAACATTAATTTTTTCATTTTCAAATCTGACTCCATCTAACCTATCAAAACAAAAATTAACAATTGGTAGACATATACATTATTCCCCCTACCAAAACAAACAAAAATCCAACGAATTAGCTAACATCTGAACATAATCATACAAATAATGTATACCAAAAAAAAAAAAAAAAAAAACCTGTTGCCCTTAAGTCGATTCTGAGCCATGGTTATTCTATGTGTGTCAGAGTAGAACTGCACTAATAGGGTTTTCAATTGCAGTAATTTTACAGAAGAAGACCACTCAGTCTTTTTTCTTTATCGCCACCAGGTGGATTTGAACCACTAACCATTCGTTTAGTAGCTGAGTGCAAACCATTTGTACCACCCAGGGACCTAGATCATTTGTATCCCCTAGAAAAGTATCTCAACAAACTCCTACTCCATGATAAACAAAGAAATATCACGCCCTCTCCTTTAATTTTACTTAGAATTAAAAATATATTAAACATCTTTATGACAAAAAACAAAACAAAGTCATGGTACAAAGTCCTTCATTGTTTTTAAATTGAAAACATACACTCACATACATACCGCTCCTGCTACCACCACACAACTAAACTTATACTTCCACAAGCAACATAAATACCTTAAAAAAGATAGATAATTCCTAATCACATCTTATTTATAATGTGACAGATATTGTGTTAGGCACTTTACACATACTATATTACGCAACTATACCAACAATATGAGGTCAGTATTATCCACCCATTTTATAAACTGGGAAACTGAGGCTCAAAGAAACTAAGAAATTTGCCCCAGGTAGTAATAGTAGTAATTGTAATAGTAAAGTAGAGGGTCAGTGAAAAAGAGGAAGACAATGAGATAGACTGACACAGTGGCTGCAACAATGGGCTCAAGCCTAACAACAATCATGAGGATGGTGCAGGACGGGGCAGTGTTTCGTTCTGTTCTACACAGGGTCGCTGTGAGTCGGAACCGACTCAGTGGCACCTAACAACAACAGTTAATAGCAGAGCTAAGAGGCAAACGTACATCTTTCTAATTTCAAAGACAGTACTCTTTCCAGCACCGTATCCCATCCCAGATGCCTGCTCCTCATAGACAACAGAGTTCAGACCCACTAACAGCCTTCCCATCTTTTAAAGTTTCAGTCAAGTGAGTCCCAGAGATATTTCTAACAGAAAATGGAGGAAGAACACATCCTTATTCCTCCTCCAAAAAAGGGGGGAAAAAAGAATTTTTAAGAGGAGTACATAAAAGGCACAAGAATAGACTTTAAGGAGGGGCCATACCTACTACTCAAATTATTGAAGCCAAATTTTTTTGCAACATTTTGCAACATTCTTACAGGATCATCTTCCCCAACACTTTTTCCTTTCTTGGAAGACTTAGGTTTTCTTTTCTGCCTTTCACTAATTGTTTGAGCTTGATTACTTTTATAAACTTCAAATGTTGACTTCTGATTATTATCTTCATGGCAATTCATTTTATTCAAATGAGAATTCGGAGCATTCTGATATTCTTCTGGTTTTTTGTTTAAGTGTATTCTTGGTTTGTAGCCATGAGTTAAAAAGTCACAAGTGTCTGTGTATACAAATTGTAAAAGGTATTCAAACAAGTCAGGATGAACTTTCTCTACCACAAAGAGATGGCATCCTACAGAATCTTCATCTTTCCGGTAAACATCTGCAAAGTCTAAAGTAGTACCATCTGAAATAAACAATTTCTGAAAAAAGTCAGAACGCACAGCCAAAATATATTTATGTGCAGGGAAGATTCTATTGCCAACTTGAAATGTCACATCGTGGATGCTGTCCATTTCATCTGTTTCCCTTAACAGTTTGCCAAACTCTTCAAAAAGCGATGATGAGGACACAACTGGAATTTCATAAAGGCTGGAAACAAAACAAAAATCATTTTTACTTTCAAGAAAATGAAAGAAAACAAAATCATTCCCAGTTGATTCTCCTTTCTGTAAATGCAATTTCTTTTATGGCATTCCCTAAAATATAAAATTACAGCACAAAGTCTAGATACTATATCACCCTTTAATTTTTTCTATTCCCTTTTATAATTATGCTTTTTTCTCTTAAATTAAAATGACAAGTTAAGTTTTTCTGTGAAAGTCATGTTCTTTATTTCTACAAGAACAATGTAACTTAGAACAACATAAATTCAAATAACTATTCCACAGAAATTTTTCAATGATTAAAAGTATAACTAAAAAGATTCAAAAAAACAAAAAGAGTACAGTTGTCATCCTTTTCCTCTTTTATATCTATTTTACAAGTGAAAATATAAATAAATAAACAAATATACAGAGAACTTAGCAAATACTTCAGGTCCCAGATCCTGGAGTATGTTAGCAACTCAAGAAGTAAAGATAAATACACACACAGACGTAGCATCAATCTGTAACCCCAGTTCTTTCATTAGTGTGGAATGTTAGATAATAACCTTCCCAATCTACATTTCACCCTTCTAAGTAAGAAGATCAAATCTCCTAGTTTGCCGAGGACTGAGGGGCTTCCTGGGATAGGCCTGGCAAATCAGGATGAATGATCACCCTACTTCTAGGATTTTTCTCCTCAACACTACTACTACTATTTCAATCTGTTCTCTCTACTAATATGACTTAGGATATTTGCACTGGAATTCACACTGCCTTACAGATGGCTCCATACTACCGCTTTTATTGTCAATTGTTACCATGTTCAAGGGTCAGAAATTTTTTTTTTTTAATTGTACTTCAGGTGAAGGTTTACAGAACAAATAGTTTTTCATTAAACAGTAGTACACATATTGTTTTATGACATTGGTTAACAACCCCAGGATATGTCAACTCAAGGGTCAGAAATTTTTGCAAACTACATCTAAGAAATATTTTTAACACATTTCTTGGAATCTGAGAACCTAGAGTACTTCATAAAGTACTAAAGACATAAATTGTATGTGTATACATATGTATACACACACATATAAAAACTAAAGGGAAAACTCATCATTCCCAGTGTAATAATTTCCACCTTCGTGTTATCCTGGCAGCATGATCATACGTCTAACGTCTCTACAGGACCTGGCAATGGTTCTGCCATTAAATTTGAGCCAGGAGCTACTGAAACAAGAAAATCCAGTGACTGTTCCTTCTAAAACTGAAAATAAAATGTAACATATACAAGTATACCTTGTTTTAGGATCTGACTGCAGGATTGCAAAGTTGCACCCACTTGGATCTGTGCTGACACTAACAGCTCTATGGGCAAAAGGAAGTCTCTCAAGTCGAATTCTTTCATATACGCTATTTACTTCAGAAACACAAGACACATCTGATGAGGAATTATGAAGGTTTGATAAAATCTCTGCTAAAAAGAAAAAAAATGAACATCCATTAATCAAGGCTTTATTGAAACCATTGAAATGATTTAGGAGTAAATGAAATGGAAAAACAATTGTGACAATATGAAAAAAATCTTTAGTATGTATTAAGGCCTTCTGAAGAACTACATCCTTTCATCTTACACCCTTTATACTGGTTGTATTATACAAGAAATTTTGGGTAGGCCCATTTTCAATTATCCATGATTTCATTCCTTTCAACAAACACATCCTTCATACTGCCACCAAAGTTATCTTTCTAAAAAACAAATCTAGCATAATGCTAGCTTTTAAAATTCCTCAAATTATATTAAAAATATATAAACAGCACCTTCATGATCTGCTTGCTTATTTACTTGCTCCCTCCCTTCCTTCTTCCCTTTCCTTCCATTCATTCATCAAATATCTGAATGACCACACTGTGCTACTGTGATATCACCATCATCAGGGTATCCCCAGTGATACAGTAGTGAACAAGGTAAACATGTCCCTACCCTCATGGAGTGCACAATTTAGCAGGAAGATAGACATTAAATAAATGATTATATCATTATAAGTCAGATCAAAGTTATAAAAGAAAAGTATAGAGTGCTTCCATGTAGATATGAAATCTGCATGTAAAGAAATCATTCTGGCTTCAGTATAAAGAACATTTATAGGTGGACAAGAATAGAGAAAAGGCATTTAGGAAGCTACTTCAAGAGTTGTAGCAATGAGACTTGGGAAAAACGGACAGATTTCAGAAATACTTGAGACAGAAGTGACAAATTTTGGTGATGACTGTTTAAACATAGGGAGTGAGGGAATACGGGGTGTCAAAGATAACTAATTACTTATATAGTATACACTTAAAAGCAGATGATCGTGAGTTCAGTTTTAGAGCACTAAATATGACTAGGACAAAATTCTAAGGACTTCCAACATCTACAGGTCCAACCTGCATTCTGTTTACTCTCTCAAATTCATTCTATTTCAGTCTTAGAGGACTTTACTAATCTTCCCCTAAATATTTCAGTTATTCTAATCTCTATGCTATCAGGAGACTTTATCCCTATATTAGCATTTGTCTCCGTGAGCCGTAAACGTTTATATACATGTCCTACTGCCCCTACAAGCTTATGAGTGCCTGAGAACAGGAGTCACAGCTTATATATTTTTGTATCATTAAAATCTAGCCCTACATCTGGCACAGAGTAAATATACCTTAAATGTTTAGGGACTTGAATAATCTATAAAGATATAAAACAGGCAATCAAAATCAATTATCCAAAAATCATTCTTTCTAGCTTTATGGTTTTGAAGAACATATTTATAATTTTCTCGAGTAATTATAAACATTCTTTATATATATTTTTAGCATATAATTACTGATTTAGCCATTCAACATAAACATAATGAGGGACGACTAGGTTTTAGGAAATATACTAAATGCTGAGGATACAGTGGAACAGTCACAGCCCTTGCCTATAGGATACAGGCATGAAACAAAGTAATAACAAAGATATATAATTACAACTGAAAATGATGAAAATACAAAGAGAATATGAAAAGTGAAACAGAGTAACTCAGATTAGATTGAGGGATCAGTGAAGACATCCCTGAAAAAATGTAAACTACTCTGAGATGTGAAAAGTTAGGGAAGGTTCTGGGACTAATTATAGCTCAGTATGTTTGAAAAACTTTAGAAAGCCAATGTGACTGAAGAGTGCTTAGTGACAGGAAGGGAACTCAAGATGAGTTCAGAGACACAGACAAGGGCCACAGCAGGGGGCCTTCTAGGTCATGTTTAAAAAATGAGGACGCCATCAAACAGCTTTTAAACATGGAAGTCTTAGGATTAGATCCTAAAAGCTCATTCGGTAACTGGTTGAAAATGAATCAAAAGGGACAAGAGTGGAAATAAGAAAATCTATTTTTTGCATGTGGTTTGAACTAGGATGGGAACAATGAAGGTAGAAACTAAATGAATTCTAGTTATTCTGGAAGAAAAATCAATAGATTACTAACTACGGATGAAAGAAAACAGTTGCTAGCCTATGTTAAACATAATCCACAAGTTTAAATTTATAATCACGTAATTAAGAGTGAACTATATTATAAATGACTTCTATTTTCAATCATAGCATTGTAATTAAAGCTCTCCTTTCACTCATCAATGAATGAAATAAAACTTAACTCCAATTACTCAGCAACTATTTAATAAAACTATATGCACTTTTTAAAATTCTCAACCACCATAAAAACTATTCTTCCTCTGCTTTTCTTCTAAGTCATAAGATATATCTCTTAAATCTTTAACTTTGCAAACAAAAGTATATAAAAAACAAAACAGAAAAAGAGTATAAGCCACTCAATTCTCAATTTGGAGAGAAAGAGAAAAAGGAGCTAGAAATCATCTAAGGAGTTTTTGTTTTTTTAAACTACACACTTCCCTGTCCCTAGAGCCATGGCTAGAAATTAGCAGTAGTGAGCCACTGTTACTGATGGGAATGGATCACAGCCTGTATGAGACAGATAAAAAGGTGAAAATCTGATATTTAAGTGAACTGAATTCCCTGTTTACCTGCTCACATACAAACCAAAATCAAAAGAAGCGCAATAAAGGTAAAACCTAATAATACTTATCAATTAAATCTAATTCGTGTCAATTTTAAAGCTCACTTGAAAGACACTTTTATGTGCCATCCACATACAGTAACTGACCTTTCTTTTCAGAACTCTTTCTTTTTTCTTCAAACCATTTCCCTCTAAATCCTTCCCCATCTTGTGTGACAAACAGAATTTCATTTCTATTTAAAGCAATATCAGAAATGAAGACCTGGCGTGGATAGGCCCACCGACACTGCTTCAGAGAACTGCTAACTGATCTCCAGCAAAACACCTAAAATGAAATCAAGTTACATTGGAATATAAAGCCATACAGCATTTGAACAAAAAAAACTGAAATCAAGAGAATTTATCTTCAAAATAAAAGCTCTAATTAGTATGTTTCAATGTTCATTCTTCCACAGAAAAAGATATTATAAAAGTCAAAGTGGTTTTAAAGAACTGTGTTTTTCAGAAGAGTACATTAACCAAACATGAAGCATTAAAAATTATTTCAAAGATTCTCCTCTTAAGAATTAATTTTCAGTATTACTTATTTGGGGTAAATAGATCTGCTCCAATGCTCAAGAAAAACAAAAATCTTGAAATTAAAACTTAGATCTCAAACTCTGTTGTAGTGCCATCTACATACAGGAAGAATGAAAATCACCCTATGAAAATTCAAACTTTACTCCCAAGAAAAAATATGTACGTATACGTATAAGTCAATTACGTAACGAAATGTCTTAGAGGTAGAAAAACCATCATAGAGTTCAATGGTTTCCAAACTGTTCTGCCAAACCTTAGTGTTCCTGAGAAATGGTTCAGGCACTGCTGCTAAGGGATAGAGAGAAGGATGAGAGATGGGGTGCTGGGCTTCCCATTCAGCTTCATCCAGAGCAGCAACTCTTTTATCTGTTTCATATGTCGGTAATCCAAGTAAGATTTCACTTGAAAAATTGATGCTGCTGATTTTTAAAAGTTTATTCCCTCATAATCAAGTTAAAAAAAACTAAAGCACAGAATGGCATCTGATAAGATCACTCAAAAGTTATATACATTGAAGACTATATTGATTAACTGATTCCTCAAGAATTTGGTTTTCATAGTGAGACTCTAATTTTGTGGGAAATAAATAGCCACAGTATAAGCTACATCCAAATTAATCCATATTAATATAAAGCTATATACACAGTTAAAATCTGTGCATTTGTTAAGTGTATAAAACTAAATTTCGCAAAATTTTTTCAGCTATGAATTGAATTTGTAATGTTGCCTACTTACCCTTTCCTTTTATAAACCATAGTTGTATGACATATCTCTTATCTATGCAATTCAGTATCATTTATCAGTACTCAGTGCACATGTCAAATAACTAATCAAAATCTCTTATTTCCATTTTAAGCATAATAAATGAAATTTTAAACTACAGTTTAACAAAGAAATATTGTACATTAGTTACACGTCACCATACTTTCTTTCGAATACCAGTTCCATACTAATTAGTATTGGATGTCGGAAATAGTAGGGAAACAAAGTCAATAGGAATTTTCACTAACATAACAATATATTTTTACATTATCAAGTCCCCTATAGCTATGAACTGAGACTGAGATCACTACACTTTTACATAAACATATACTTACCCTTCCCGCTCCATCCACTGCGAGAATGCAAATTTTCTGACCCCCATTTTCTTTCAGATGTTCAGGATCAACCTTGTACTCCATACGCCCTCCAGAAACAAGAACCTTTTTCAAGTTTAGTTGTCTGAGTGAAAAAAAAAGAAGCTCAATTAATAGGTTTTCCAAAATACACATGTTCAATTTTAAAGAAATTACCACTGAAACAATAATCTATGGCTGATTATTGTGAAGAATAAAGTAAGAAGAATTGGTTTTTGGTATCCCCAGTCTCCCCTTTCGGTATCTTTTCCCTTACACAACCGCCGTTTCTTTCTATGGCAAATCCTTGCCTCCCAAATGCCTCCACCCACACAGATACACACATTAAACACGTAAAAGCCCTGCTTGCTAATGCACACATTCACTCTAGGGTTTAAATAACTGGTATGGCTAAAAGCTCCTGAATATATTTGTATCTTAGCTGAAAAGAAAAATTTTAAACCTCAAAATTAAATAGAAACATTAAATTTCAAATATGGCCAACCATAAGTATATAAAACTACTGTGAAAGTTATCACTACTGCTAATGTAATAACGTAACCACTAACTGCAGGTTTCATCTACACATCTAAAAGAATAATACCCCAATGAACAACTTTAATATTTTTTAAATTTAAAAGCTTAAAAAATTCTTTAGTAAATTACTATGTTGGAACTTAATCAGCAACAAAAAGAATTTTCTTAATGAAAACTTGGATGTAACACATTCATGTGATTTAATGTTATCAACGGTAAATTTTATAAATGTTAACTAAACAAAACAACATCCCACAAATCACTTCATGCTCAGGAAAAAACCTATTTACAAAGTTGTAAGAAACATGTATGTTCACATTTTGTTTCATGTTTCTAAATCTGACCTATAATTGATGTTAAAAGTAACTCCAAATGCTATACAAAGAAGAAAAGTTGTGACAAATTGATGGTTGACATTTTCTGCTCATAAGCTAACTTCATGAATGGAATCTGTTCATAAAGTTAAAATCTTACTTGCATTAGCAAAAGCACATTTTGCTGAATTTTAATTTAAATGTCTAATTGGTTTGAAGAAAGATAGCTACTCTCTAGAATTCTTGCACACGATTGCTTCCACTAGTTGAGCTATACTCTTCCAGGAATCAGTTGTATTTGTTCAAAGACCTATTTATGTACTTGCATTTATTACTATAACTATATAATTTAAATAAATATTATATAAACTGATGAAAGATTAGTCTAAAAAGAATGTTTTCTATAAAAATAAGTGGAATACTTTGGAATAATGTAATAAATACGAGTAGCAAAACCCTGCAGTCAAAGCATGTATGAATGAAGCAACTATAAAAGATAGAAAATCTATTTAAAATATAGGATTCTACACTTACATTATTAGGCAATTGCTCCTTAAATCATTCAAAATGAAATCACAGGTGATAGGTAACGAGCATGGTTTATGAACAAAAGACAGGGAACTCCAATTGGTAGACCCACCTACAATTAAAATCTTAGCTTTATGATTTCCTGCTTTAACTGACTTTTTGATTAACCAACTGCTAGTCTACCACTAATTATTAAATATTATTTTACAACTTAAAAAGAACTTTCACATATATTCACTGTATCTTTGCCAAAGACTAAAATTATTAAATGCAAAAAATTCCTGACTTCCCCCCATTTAATTTTCTCCATTTGACAATTTACAAAGCACAGCATAAAGCTGATACTCAGATATTTGCTGGAAGAAATTAGAACTAATACTAAAGTTATGTTTCTTTCACAGAAATGCACATACTTAGAAGCCATCTTCTTGCACTGATAGTCTGCAAGTAAGTAAATATCTCCCCTTGTGGTTACACAGACGGTGGCCCCATCACTTGCAGCAACCAAGGACAGGCCAATATCCTTATGATGAAGAGCAGAAACTTGACGAGGAGCAGTTACACATTTTTCTCCATTGGGATCCAGTAAATAACCTAAAAAATCACACAAATAATGATAAAACATATCTACTTAAGAGTTAAATTTATTTTTCAGATATAGTCAGCAAAGATTTCTTACCCAGCTGCCCACCATTCAGTCCCATAGTGTACACAGCTTCTCTTGTCCACAGCACTGTATGAAACCTGCCTGCTGCTACTCCAATGATTGTTTTCCCTTTCAGATATTTTGCCTGCATCTATTCAAAAAGATAAATAAGACTGCAGTTTACTATTTGATTATCTAGTACAATATTGCAAAGACTGAGTAGATGAGGATAGCAAATACATGGCATACTTGCTGCCAGTACCCCTCTAGTACTAATGGCAGTTGTCACTAACAGATCTCTGCACTCACACCAAGACCTGAGTCCTTGTCGGGGCACAAGACATTCAGTGTAGCCACTTTCATTCAGCAGTTTGAACATGTGGGACATTGACATGGTATAAAAACCTTTTGGCTATTTTTTTCTAACAAGCAATACACAAAACAGGTATTCTCACTCTTATAAGAAAACAAAGTACTTTTAATTTTGACATGCCCAGGGTCTCTCAATAGTGGCACAATTGAACATTTGGGCCAAGATGACTCTTTGTTGCAGGAAGCTGTCCTGTGCATCACAGGATGTCCCGTGCGTCACACTGCAGCATCCCTGGCCTCAACCCAAAATGTCAGTACCTCCCACCCATTTGTGACAACCAAAAATGTCTCCAGACATTGCCAAATGGCTCCTGGGGGTGGGGGGAATTGCCTCCAGTGGAAAACCGCTGCACACATCCATATCTACCCAGAGCTCCAAGGTAGCCGCACAATGAGAGTAAAATTGATAACAAAACTTTGCCATTCCCGAAGAAGTCTACAAAACAGTTAAATGTTCACAAATTCCTCAGATGGTTGGAGAAAATGGATCTACTAAGAAGTACCACAGATTGGAGACTAACCCAAATTATTTTAGTAATTCCTACTGATTCATTAAACTCACTGTCATCGAGTCGACTCTGACTCATAGCAACCCTACAGGACAGAGTAGAACTGTCCCGTGGGGCTTTCAAGGTTGTAATCTTTTTGGAAGCAGATTGTCACGTCTTTCTCCTGCGGAGCAGCTGGTGGGTTCAAATCGCCAACATTTTGGTTAGCAGCCAACTGCTTAACCACTGCACCACCAGGGCTCCGGATTGATCCATTAGTCATCCAGAATAGCAAGGTCAACTTAAATACTTGGTAATAAAAAATGTATATCTAATAACAATTTGAAATCCAGAGGATTGAACAAGTAAAGACATTTAATATCTGAAACGCAAACTGTTAAAACGAGCAGCAACGTTAACTTAGAGCACCAGTCCCAGTTCTGCGTACTAGGTGCCTGAAGTTGGGAAAAGGGTGCCATCTGGTGGTGGTTATGCAAATAAAAGTGGGATCATATAGCAAAGAACAGTGGCTTTTGGATCCATGTCCCTGCACATCCATTTGCCAGGTATGACTTCTGTGCAGAGGCAGAAACTACGAAACCAAAAAAGCTCAGGCTTCTGGGTGCTTCATTTGCATGAGACCACTTTGTATTAATAATTTTGTGTTACTTTTCTTAAGGAGGATCCAAAAATTGTTTAAGATTCAAACCTAGTCCACCTCTGCTTATGAATACTTAAGAGTGGAATCCAGGGTAGTTTAGTAACTAATTTCTCAAGTACTGTCTTTCTTATTCTTATAGTACTAATTTGTACTATACTTAATTTCTCCTTTTATGAAAAATAAAAATATACATATATCACTGAAGATGAATTTAAATAGCAAAAGTAAAATATATAGCTTGTCAATAACTTAATGTCTTTCCGTCCATATAAGTTTTGTAGCAAATAATCACTTTATTATTTAAAAAAGAGAAGTTTACCTGTCTGGGTACATTACAACTTGGAGGTGGGGGAACAAGCCCTAACTGATGAAAAACATTTAGACCAAATGTATAAACAAATCCATCTTCAGTTAATACAACAGTATGATCCTTGGCAGCTGCCACTTGGGAACAATTGTGACCACTCAGTCCTTCCACAAGCCTGGGGACCTATAAAATAAAATGAGCTTTAGTATTATATTAACCATTTATATAGGAATACAAATAGAATCTGATGATACTACATCCAAAATGACATAACTGATATATGTGGCTGTTATCTATTACAGGTAAACTCTACATTTCAGCAAGGGATAGAAGGAGCTTAAAAGAATATGGACACTGGTTTATGACCAAAATACATAACCCCAATAACACATTTCAATAAAATAATTCAGTTCAACAACTGATTTTTGAGCCCTTACCATATACCAAGCACAAATTTGTTTGGTATAAATAAAGGTGACTCTTCAGTCAAAGTATTCATTTGTGTATGGGCGGGAGGGTGGGGGGACAGGAATCTATGTATCCCTTCACTCAGTAACCAAACATAAGATCTCTGAGCCATCTGGGTTCAAATCTTAGTTCTGTCACTTATTAGCTATTTGATCTCAATCAAATTTCTTACCTCTCTGTATTTGTAAAACAAAATAATAGTAGTATTTTAGACCACAATAGACTTCATAGGGTTGGTGTAGGGGGTAAAAACCAAACCCAAACCCAAGCTGCCATCAAGTCGATTCCGACTCATAGCAACCCCACAGGGTTTCCAAAGCTGTAGATCTCTACAGAAGCAGATTGCCACATCTTTCTCCCATGGAGCCGCTGGTGGTATCGAACTGCTGACCTTTCGGTTAGCAGATGATCACTTTAACCACTGTGCCACCAGGGCTCCTTAGGGGATAAAAGAGTTGGTAATTTACAACAGTCCCTGGCAATGAGTAAGCAAGCAATAAATGATTGCTATTGCTACTACTGTCAACATGTATAAAATGAAGATGATATGCCTACACCTCATAGGGCTATTGTGAAGCTTAAGTCAAGGTAATGATAATGCATGAAAAGCATGAACAATGCCTGGAAATAAAAAACCCTCAAAAAATGGAAGCTGTTATCACTATATCTCTACCTCCTTTTTAAAGCATCCTTTAATAGATGACAAATATACCAGTAGTCCCCTCAAAACAATAACAAAAAAACTTACCTTTAAACACATAATGAGCCAATTTTCTATTATGGAATGATTACTAAGTTTCTTCCAATTAGCACTACGTTTCAGTAACATAAGAATCAATTTTGTAATTGTACAACGAAAATATTGGCTCAATTACCAGACCACAGATACTTTAATGAGAAGTTAAAAGCAAATAAAAATCTGTACTGCTGCAGGAAAAGTTTTACAATTAATCTGCCTTCTTTAATTCAATTCTTGAAATATTTTAAAGCTTATTTATATACTCTCCTGACTCAATATTTGTGTAAGCACTGTATAATTTTTCTTTGATGCTTTAGAATTTTGCATGTTATCTAAATCCTTAATATGAACATGATAAATCATGAAAGTAATAGATTTAAAAAAAAAAAAAAAAGCCTGGTATCAATTAATGTATTATTTTCTCCTTATAGTTGGTGAAAAAATTCCACGAAAGCTTCCCATTTACCCAAGTTTTACTGAAGCCACCTAAATTGTGTGATGACATGTCAATTACCAAGCATGTCTGTTCATCTCCATGTCCTAAGCGTCCTCCAGGACCGTGACCACAGGTATAAACCTGCCCTTTCTGAGACAGAAACACTGAGTGAAATTTACAAAGCACCACCTAAGGGAAAACAAGAAAATATTAAACTTCTCTGAATGAAATATCCTTTATTGTGCAAAAGAAAAATAGTAGAATATTGCCAGTTGTTTAAATTGAATAGCGGATACATGGGGATTCATTATGCTATTCTCTCTACTTGGTATATGATTAAAGCCTTCTGTAATAAAAAATTAAAATACATACATTTTATTTTAAAAGTGTGCTTAAAAATAGTGGCACATGGGAAAAGAACAAAGGAGGAATTAAGCATGTATTAATCACAGAAGGAAACCCTGGTGGTGTAGTGGTTAAGAGTTACAGCTAACCAAAAGGTTGGCAGTTCGAATCCACCGTGCGCTCCTTGGAAACCCTATGGGGCAGTTCTACTCTGTCCTATAGGGTCGCTGTCGGTCGGAATCGACTCGACGGCAATGGGTTGGACGCACAGAAGGAACTAAACCAAGGAAAAGTAAATCTTAAGTCTTCAGGTATAAAAAGTAGTAGCCAGCTGCTTTCCAATTTCATGAAATCCCAAATAGCAAGAATTTAGCCAGGTACAATATGAAGCACAAAGATTCCCAAACTGGGTGTTATTAAGGAACAGTAGAAATGCCTTCAGATTATTATTTTTTAAAAATGTCACTATACAGAGGGTAAGAGGGAAGGTGTACAGTATGTCTTTTGTGTATCTCTTTTTTGGTCTACTATATTACATGTTTAATAGTACAGGACTTGAAATAATTTTATATTTATTTTCAAGTTTTTCTCTTGCCTCCTTTCTCTCTCCTTATCTGCTTCCCTTCCAAAACCCTCTCCACCCACACAAACACTTACGCATTCACATATCCTTACAAGAAGACCAAAAACACCAAACTCATCGCCATCAAGTCAATTCCAACTCATGGTGACCCCATGTGTTACACAGCAGAACTGCTCCATAAGGTTTTCTTGGTTGTAATCTTTACAGAAGCTGTCTGCCAGGCCTTTCTTCCTCAGAGCCACTGGGTGGGTTTGAACCACCAACCTCTTGTTTAGCAACTGAGCTCATTAACCATCTGCACCACCCAGGGGCTAACATACGTACAGTAACTTCCAATTTATAAACTGCTTGCATTAACATTTCATACTTTTAGGGTATTTTACACAACCTAAACATGATTAAGGCTAAGAAATATAAAAATTTAGCAAAGTTCTATCGATTGATTTCTTCAATAAAATATGTTCTTTATTTAAACAAAGTTAACAGAATCCAAATGAAAAGCTGAACTACCAAATATAAAAGTTCTTTTAATTTCTAAGAGTACTCAGTTGTACTTCAAAATACCTGCTTGATATAAACTCCACTCCTGGAGAACAGATCCACCAACTCTGGATGATGTTTGCTATTTTGGCTTCCATGACCCAGGGTGAAATTTGTATTATCTCCCCAAGTATAGACATCTGTAGGATCTAAAATGAAAATTAGTCTTAATAGTCCTTTAATCTTTTAAAACAAACATCAATTTATTTCAATTATAGACGCACTCTACTAATCAGTTTAGCTAAAACATGACTCTTTACAGGAACTACTTTAACTTCCATATTTAGAAAGATGATGCTAAGACTCTTTTAAATTATGAATGCATTAATATATAATTCTAAAAATAAAAATCATAGTACAGGCCTATCTCAATATAAGCAATCTAACATATGTTCCTTATTTCTTTAGCAGCCAAATAAGTAAAACATCACCTGCCATATCTAATTTCAATGAAAATTATAATATATATAGTTATTTTAAATGTAAGAGGTTATGAATCCATATATATAAAGGTTCTAAATGAAACAAATGTGACATTACTTACTATTTCTATAGAAACATTAATTTTTAATATTTTTATCCTGATAGATTTAAGATCACACTAGTGACTAGTATAATACCACATTAAACTGGGATAAACCCTAATTATGGCTAAGTTTATGATATGAATTTTCATTTTTATTTTGGAACACTGATAAAGTTCTAGAATGGAACTGTAACTGTTACTTGCAATGTGGTGTCCCAGGTAGAAACAAAAATGAAGAACGTGTCCTCACTTAGCTGGCTCACTAGTTTAATGTAAACTACACAGTACCCATTTTAATCTCTTCTCCTTTGCTTCAATTCCCACTTCCAAAGCTTAATGGGCAAATAAACTGGAGGGATAAGAGAAATTAGAATGTGTGGGTAGATGAATCATTTCCATTCCTTTTTCCCCTCTACCTCAAATGCTGATGTTACTTTCTGGATGCCCATTAATTACTTTACAGTAGTTACAATTCTAACAGCCTTCCTACTTTAAGTGGTATTTTTACTCTTACAGACATAACTATGGATTGAAAGATGCAAAATAAAAGTGTTCTGAATATCAAACCAAAAATATCAACCTATATACCAAAGTAAAAGTTCTTTGCAGATATCTACACACAAATAAATCTTCTCAAGTATTTTAAAAAGAATAAAGCTTCATTAAGATTTGCTAAGCTGTACCTTAATGGAATATATTTGTGGAATTTTCTTACCAGTATTCTTGAATACTACATGAGTTGGTCTATCCTTCATTACAAGATCCAAAGCTGACAAACCTTCTTTATCTTGGATATACAGACTAACACCATGCTGAAAAAAAATGAAAAAAAAGTCTATTTCATCAATTTACCTATAATCAGTAATTTCTTATTCTTATATACTGAAAAATCAAATGCTTGTGTCCCTAAATACAAAGAAAAAAAGAAAAAGAAACATTTAATAATTATCATCTCTCATGATTATGCATATTTTTTCTCACATAGATAAACGACTAAGAAAAATCAAATATCCAGGCTGTAAAGATTTCAAGGCAATGGCAGAATAAAACTTACATTAGGATTTACTCCTCAAAAATATGATGTGATCATCTGTGCCCTTTTTTCTTTTTGCCTTGAATTCTATTATATTGATTATTAAGACAATCATATTCTTTTATTTCTATTTGGATGATATATATATTTTCATACCTTTCTACTTTAAATCTTTTTATAGCATTGTTTAATTGTGGTCTCTTGAAAATCACATATAATTAGATTGTATCTAAAAAAAATCTGGAACCTGTGTGCGTGCGTGAGTGTGTATCTATGTGTTTCTAAAGACCAACTTAATTTGCGGTCTTTTACCCCCACAATTCAGACTCAGACATGAATTGGAATACTTTCTGTCCCACTTACTTAAAGCAGTTAGCACTCCATCCCTATTACCATACTTCACTTTTTTTTTTTTTTTTAAATCTAATGGGGGGGAGTAGGGAGACAAAGAGCAATGTTCAATTCATGTTATCGTTACGTCATGACAGCTTTTAAAATATAAAATGTACTCCTTTTCAAGAATAACTTTTAATGTTTTTTAATGTTTGCTGTCAAACATTATAAGACTTTCAACAATTACCCCACGAGGTACTTTCATAAGTGCGCTATGCTAAATTTTTTATAGCAACAAGTAAAAAAAAAAATTGGCACAGTGAGTGCTTATGAAAATGCCTGGCGGGGAGGCAAGGTTGGCAAACAAACATAGAAGACACGTGTTATTTGCATAAAAATATGGTCCTTAGACTTATCTCTGTTTAAACTAGTATGAGTCATCACTATCTGTCCACAAAAAATATACCTAGGTAGTTACAGGCTGAGGTGAACCATGAACTTTTTAAACTCTAACAGTGATATGTTGAAATATTCTGTTCCAGGTTACATAAGAAAGAATCTCGTCTTAACCTCACAACAATGGATTTCTAATAAACTAAGACCAATTGCAACTGCACTGTGTTCCAGATGGTTACAACACCTGGTTTCCCAAAGCTGTCAATTAGCAAAATACATCCAAGTTAGTGAGCTAACAGTTAAACAAAAACCAGAAGTGATCGCTTAAGATTTTATTAAATTTAAAATTATACACTGCCTACTACTTTCAAAAAAGTCAGGCATAATAAATTCATGTGGAAGGACCTAAAGTTGATCTTTTTAAGAGTAAGAAAGGTAGATTCCAGGGCAGAATGTTCCAAGCTATGAATTTGACAAATTAAATCCTAGAAGCTTAGATCCCTAGGGACTTTATTTTCCAGACGTATTATTTTGCTCTAAATTTTATATAAACCAACTGGACCCAGGTAAGACTTCATACATTTTCATCATCCTAAGCAGCCCCAACCACATAAAGGACTTGTGACAATTTTTGCCTTCACAGCACCCTAGATATGATGGGCTCTGACACTTCCTAACGTGTTTGTCTTAATCTCTAAAGATGGCAGGCCAAGGTATAGTCTATCCTATTTATTTAAAGATCAACTCTTCAAACATCCCCAAAATAGTAGGTAGCTTACTAAACAGCACCTAAAAATATGAGGCCTACAAGCCTGGGCATCTCATGCCAGTGGTCTACAACAAGAAACAAACAGACTTTAGACAGAACTATTCCACTACAACCACTACTCATCTGTCAGTATGTCATACCGTGGTGGCTTGCATGTTGCTGTAATGCTGGAAGCTATGTCACCGATAATTCAAATACCACCAGAGTTACTCATGGTAAACAGATTTCAGCAGAGCTTCCAGCCTAAGAGACTAGCAAGAAAGGCCTAGTGAGCCACTTCTGAAAATCGGGCAATGAAAATCTTACAGATGACAACAGAACACTGTTCAATTCACTTGCTTTGAACATGTCATCAGGAGGGATCAATCGCAAAGAAGGATCTCATGTTTGGCGAATCAGAGGGCCAGTGAGGGCAAGGGAGACCCTTGGTGAGACAGACTGGCACAACAGTCACAGCAATGGACTCAAACATGTTGTGACTGTGAGGATGACGCAGGACTGGGCACATTTCATTCTGTCATGCAGGAGGTCACCGTGAGTCGAAGTCACCTTGACAACAGTTATCTATTCCACTACAAACCACTGGTAATACTGTTGGAAATGTCTGTTAAGAAACACAGAAAGTGGTTTTCTTTGTTTTGACTGACTTCCCCAAAAAGCAGAGCCTAAGACAAAGATTTGCATACTAGAAAGCAGTAGCGAGGGACCAGGGGAGCGAATCAAGTTATCGAGTAGGCCAGGATGTTCTGGTAGCCTTATGAAATATATTACAGTAATTGTCCAAACAAGGGATAAAAGGGGGAAGTATTTACCACCGGCTCCCATTATCCATTAGCCAAGCCTCTCCTCAGAGGCTTCACTCTCCTGTACTTTCAGCTGGTCATGCTCGAGTGCCAAGCCCAGGGCAGAAAACAAGAGGCACGCAGTACGCACCTACAGCAAGGTGCAGAGTACATCTACATAAAGCTGCTAGAAGCCTGTGTGGAACTAGTCACCACAGCTGTGGCTGGAATAAGAGGTGAAGGGAAGTACATGATACACTTATCTTTCCAAACTAGTTATGAGCTAAGTTGAATGACCTCCTACTAGAGAAAACAGCATGATTCACATGCTCTTATATTCAAATGACATGGTTTTAACACCATAAACTAGGAAAACTAGGAACAGTTTTAACAGACAACTGGTCCTGTTATCTAATTACCCCCAGGGGGTAGGGGTGGGGACAAAATTTCAGATCATTATTCTATAACAAAAGTCCTAATTTTTGTCCAATTCTTTTTAAATGATTTACAGCTAGCTACCAAAAGTCATACCATTTAATATCTAAAATACACATTCTGAAATTAGCTTATCTTGGCTTCTGCAATAGGAAATTATATTGCTTAATTTTTCTGGAGTTATATATCTAAGACCTTCTAAGGTAGAGATATTTATAATCTGTTTAATAATTTCCCCAGGCCAAATCTGAAAAAGAAGAATGATACAATTACCACAACTTAATACTACATAACAATAACCAACAGTAGCAGTCATTTGTTTTTTCTTTTTCATTGGACTTCTACCATCCATCCTCCCTAACAGCACCCAGAGTTTCTTTTGGCACACAGCTTTGGTAGAAATATAATTTAAGTAAGAGGTGCACATGCAATCCAAGGCCAACCAACTGAAAGCTTGTCTTCAGAAATCTTAAATCTTGAGTAGACTAATGCTAGAATCAGGCAGAGATGGAGATTGGGGATCAGGGGTGTGCAAAATGGTTCCCACCTTCTCTATAGTAGTTACACTGTTTTAGTTTCATCTTGTTTATAATTTGACAGTTAATTGAGCTGTTCTGGTTCCTTACATGGTTCTCTACTCTGTAAGGCATCTGACAGCCCTCTAAACATTTGCTTATGTTACCATAGTTTGTTTCTGTTGTGTGCAAAAAGAACACTAATACACTAACATTTATTAAGCACTTTATTTGTTTACTCAATTATTTGGTTTTGGTCTATTTCCCCCTACTGCAATGAAAACTCAAACAACGAAGGAACCTTGTCTGTCTTGTTCACTCCAACATCCCTGTTGCTGTTGTTGTTAGGTACCGTCAAGTTGATTCTGACTCACAGCACCCCTATGTACAACTGCCCTGTTCCTGTGCCATCCTCACAATTGTTGCTATGCTTGAGTCCACTGTTGCAGTCACTGTGTCAATCCATCTCATTGAGGGTCTTCCTCTTTTTCACTGACCTCTACTTTACCAAGCATGATGTCCTTCTCCAGGGACTGGTCCCTCCTCATAACACGTCCAAAGTATGTGAGATGAAGTCTCCCCATCTTTGCCTCTAATGAGCATTCCTGTACTCCTTCTAAGACAGATTTGTTTGTTCTTCTGGCAGTCCATGGTATATTCAATATTCTTGCCAACACCATAATTCAAAGGCATCAATTCTTCCGTCTTCCTTATTCATTGTCCAGCTTTCACATGCATATGAGGCAACTGAAAACACCATGGCTTGGGTCAGGCACATCTTAGTCCTCAAAGTGATATCTTTGGCTTTTTAACACTTTAAAGGGGTTTTTTGCAGTAGATTTGCCCAATGCAGTGCATCATTTGATTTCTTGACTGCTGCTTCCATGGGCATTGATTGTGGATCCAAGTAAAATGAAATCCTTGACAACTTTAATCTTTTCTCCGTTTATCATGATGGTGCATATTGGTCCAGTTGTGAGGTGTTTTGTTTTCTTTATGTTGAGGTGTAATCCATACTGAAGGTTGTAGTCTTTGATCTTCATCAGTAAGTGCTTCAAGTCCTCTTCACTTTCAGCAAGCAAGGTTGTGTCATCTGCATATCTCAAGTTGTTAATGAGTCTTCCTCCAATCCTGATGCCATGTTCTTCTTCATACGGTCCAGCTTCTCAGATTATTTGCTCAGCATACAGATTAAGTAAGTATGGTGAAAAGATAAAATCCTGACACACACCTTTCCTAACTTTAAACCACGCAAGTATCCCCTTGCTCTATCCGAACGACTGCCTCTTGGTCTAAGTACAGGCTCCTCATGAGCACAATTAAGGATTGTCTTAGTCATCTAGTGCTGCCATAACAGAAATACCACAAGTGGATGGTATTAACAAAGAGAAGTTTATTTCCTCACAGTCAAAGTAGGCTAAAAGTCCAAATTCAGGGCGTCAGCTCTCTTTCTTTCTCTCTCTGTCAGCCTTCTCATCAGTGTTACCCCGGACTAGGAGCTTCTCAGCACAGGGACCCCAGTCCAAAGGACGGGCTCTGCTCCCGGCACTGCTTTCTTGATAGTACGAGGTTCCCGTCTCTCTGCTCACTTCTGTCTTTTATATCTCAAGAGACTGCCTCAGGACACAATCCAGTCTTGCAGATCAGGTCCTGCCTTACTAACACAACTGCCACCCATCCTCCCTCATTACACAGAGGCAGGTTTACGACATACAGGAAAATCACACAGTACCAGGAATCATGGCCTAGCCAAATTGATACACACATTTTTTGGGGGACATAATTCAAACCATGACAAGGGTTCTGGGATTCCCACTCTTCACCTATAATTTGTTATGATCCACACAGTTGAGTGCCTTTGCATAGTCAATGAAACACAGGTAAATATCCTTCTGGTATTCTCTGCTTTCAGCCATGAACCATCTGACATCAGCAATGATATCCCTTGTTCCATGTCCTCTTCTGAATCCAGCTTGAATTTCTGGCTGTTTCCTGTCAATGTACTGCTGCAACTGCTTTTGAACAATCACCAGCAAGATTTTACTTGTGTATGATATTAATGATATTGTTCGATAATTTCCGCATTCAGCTGGATCATCTTTCTTTGGAATATGGACCTCTTCCAGTCAGCTGGCCAGTTAGCTGTCCTTCAAATTTCTTGGCAAAGATAAGTAAGTGCTTCCAGTGCTGCATCTGTACTGCTGCACAGTATGACAAACTGACAGATATGTGGTGGGCAATATCCCTAGCACCTCAATTATTGCCTGGCACATAACAGGCGTTCAAAAAGCATTTGTTCTAAATACCTTACAAATAGTATACCATTTAAAACATACAACCTTACGATTGGTATATCATTTAATCCGCACAACTTTATGATCAGTTTATCATTTAATACACACAACCTTATGATTCTATAAATTATTCCATTTACAACAGGGAAAATGAAAATAAATTCTTCCAGAATAGTGATGTAAGTAAATCCCCGGTATAAAAGAACAATGGCATTGCAACAGGATAAAACAGGACCCCACAAGCACGAACAGTCTTTGCCAGCCATGCATCCTGTCATGGAACCAAGGAGCCAGAGAAAAGCTACATAAGATATGCTGTCTCTACTCCAGTTTTTTGTAGATGATAAGTTTCTGCTAAGGTGTTATATCTTTGGCAATTGGAAACTGACAATGTGAATTTTTTATACAATTTATTTTGGCACTTAGTTAAAATTTATAGCTATAAAGTTTTTATCAAATGAAAATTCATTTAAAATGTGCATGTGTATATGGTCTCATCCTGTCAATCTTTAATACCTGAAGTGCTACAAATGACATCAAAAGCGAGACTAACATGAAGATGAAGACTCCTATCACCGCAGTCCTTCTAATTAAAGAAGTGTTGGAAGGCCAGAGGAAAGAATGATGTGCTGAGTGTATCCAGATAGCTTACAACATGAGAATATTAAATGGTTAAAAGATGTTTTTGTGGGTATCACCAATCAGTAGGGCTCTGACAATAATAAATGACAGTCAAAACAAGGGCAAGGTGATCGTGGCATGATTTCCTGGCTTCTCTTAAACAAGATGGTGAGGATAATTGAGGATCCTTAGATGGAAATGAAACACCAAAGGGAGGGAAGGTCCAAAGTTCAGGTCAGACCACAACCATTTCAAATTGAAGCTCCAAATCCTGACACTTAAATGGCAACTTCTAAGACAGCAGAAAACCCAAGGACCCTCTCAAACTCTGCAGGATTGGCAATCACCTAATTTTCCAGAGACTGGAAAATGTCAAGGTTTTAGAGGTGGGAAAGGGTAAGAGTGGAGCTGATAGATGCTTTAATTCTTATTAACATAACTTTCCCTATAAAAGAGATTATTAAAAGCGAATTAAATAGATACCAAAAGGTTTTAGATACAGGCATAGTTAACAGTTTATTAATAAACTTAGGATAAGTTTTCTCTTCACTAACCCTCCGGGGGGTGGGGGGAGGAAGGTACTATTATTATCTTCATTTGAGGTTTAAAATTTCATAACTTGTCCAAGATGACTCATTAAATAGTAAACCTAGGCAGTTTAGCTCCAATAAAGGATTTTTAACTATTAATATATAATGAAAAATACTTTGATTAGTAAATGTTACTATATAAAGAGTATTACATAAGTAATATTTTAAAAGTCAAAAACAAATGAAGACACTGAATATAAGCTCCCCAACTGGACTACAAGTTCCTTGCTGACAGGAACTGTTTTGTTCTTCTTTGGGTCCTCCACAAACCATTCAAAATAAGGTTGTTAAATTCAAATCTCATAGCTAATAGTGAGTTTTTTGTTTGTATTCATTAGTAAAATGACACTGGGGTTTATCTCAAAACACTTCGCTATTTGGCTATTTAGTATAAGACTTAAGATGATTCTAATTATTTTTTTTAGAACTATAAACAGTTTATCCTAGCCAAACAATAAATAACATATTAATCAAATCACACATCATCTTTTGATGTTCAATTTACCTTTTCAAAGTAGTTAATGATATAATTATTTAAAAGTAAACCATATTTTTTAAAATATTAAGATACACAGTACTGACTTAATGATAAAACGCCTGGGATTTGCTTCAAAATAATATGGGATGGGGGAAGCAAGCAGGAGTACACATAAAATTGACCAATGGTGCATTATATATTGTCAACTGTCGTCTATGTTTAAAATTATATATCATAAAAAGTTTAAATAAAAAGAATATATGGGATTTTAATTCCAAAGATGAGTTACAGTAGTAAAAGATACCAAACAAATGATAACAGGAAACTTACATCCTTTTTGGAAAATAAGTGGGCTGTATGAAAAAAGATTAAGAAAAACATATGCCTGACAAAAAACCCAAAACCAAACCCACTGCCATCAGCTCATAGCAACCCTATAGGATAGAGTAGAACTGCCCGATAGGGTTTCCAAAAAGCAGCTGGTGGATTCAAACTGCCAGCCTTTTGGTTAGCAGCCAAGCTCTTAACCAAGACCAGATAGTTTTTTGTTTTGTTTTGTCTTTTTTTATATTTTATTGTACTTCAGGTGAAGGCTTACAGAACAAATAGTTTCTCATGAAACAGTAGTACACATGTTGTTTTATGACATTGGTTAACAACCCCACAACATATTAACCCTCTAAATTCTCAACTTTTTTTTTTTTGTGAAAATACACATAGCCAAAGATACACCGTTTCAAAAATTTCTACATACACAGTTCAGTGACCTTGACTACGCTCTTCCAATTGTGCTGTTATTCTCACTTAAGATGAAGGCTTACAGAACAAAATAGTTTCTCATTTAACAGTTACTACAAATGTTGCCCTATGACAATGGTTAACAATCTCACAACACATCAACAATATCCTTACTCAACCTTGGGTTCCCTATCACCAGCTTCCTTGTCCCCTTCCGCCTTCTGGCCGTTGTCACTCGACTCCTGTACCTCGTTAGTCTCATTTGGTTTTACGGGGCTGTCTACTCCCAGGCTGAACAGTGAACCTCGGAGGTAACATCACCACTGAGCTGAAAGGGTGTCTGGGGGCCATACTCTCGAGGTTTCTCCAGTCTCCTCTAGGCCAGTAAATCTGGTCTCTTTTTCTGAGTTAGAATTATGCTCTACATCCTTCTCCGGCTCTGTCCAGAACCCTCTGTTGTGATCCTGGTCAGAGCAGTTAGTGGTGGTAGCCGGGCACCATCTAGCTGTACTGGACTCAGTCCGGTGGAGGCCTTGGTAGCTGTGGACAATTAGTCCTTCGGACTAATCTTTTCCTTGTATCCTGTTCTCTTCATTCTCCCTTGCTCCCGAAGGGATGAGACCAGTGGAGTATCTTAGATGGCTGCTCACAGGCTTTTAAGACCCGAGACACTACTCACCAAGGTAGAATGTAGAGCATTGCAAGACCAGATACTTTTAATTAAAAAAATGAACTTACCTTCAACAGAGACCAAACACAGTCAATATGTCCATAAAAAATGCTTCTGTGCAAAGCTGTCCATCCTGACTCCTTGTCTTTCACCAAAGGATCCACTCCTTTCTCAATAAGCCAATCTAACACTCCTTTCTTGCCGCAAGAAGAAACCAGGTGGAGGGCATTCCTGCCAAAGGCATCCTTGATAGTTGTAGCATTGTAACAATAACTAGAGAGAAAAGCCTTAATCTGGCCTTCACTCCCCTTTGTTATCACAGAAAGGATGTCCAAAGCATGCTGCAGGGATCGACACTTTGATGTGCAGTCAGGGATAGAAGAATTCATCCTAATATTGTTTATGCTGCTTACTTCTTCAAAATAGTCAGCTAAGACAAAGTTTTAAAAAATGAAAATGCCAGGACACAAAGGTGCTATTCAAGATGAATTATAGACAATAAACAGCCTTTTTGGGATTATAATTTAAATCCTCATGGCAATAGTATAAAACTATTTATCTTTGTACAATTTATTTTGGCACTTAAATCAAAAAAATTAAAAATAGCTCTATTATAAAGTTTGTATCAAATATATATTTTTTAAAACTTTCCACAGTTTATAAATTATTCCTAGAGTCAAGCACCAAGGGGGAGTGAGGAGGGGAACTCCCCCTCCACACTGTCTAATCTTTTTAAATATCCATAATTGCAACGGTGACCTATAAGGGAAGGAGAAAGGGAGAGAAAAGAGAGAAAGTAATGTAAGTATCCATCTCATAAAGAAGAAAACCCAGTAACCAGTTTTTTATCTAACATCATAATTTCATTCTAGTATTCTTTTCTCAAAATGCTTACAAACACCCAGTTCCACACAATGCTTGATGAATCAGCTTTCCCAAACACTGATTCCCTCATTAATGAGTAATAAATCTGACATGAGTTCATTCAAAAAAAAAGTAAAAAATACCAAAAACTATCTCTAATTCTCCTCAAGTCCTTTACAACTACCTCCATATTTAAATGCTCTTAATTCCTATCTAAAAAAAAAAAGTATCAACTTTTCACCTTCCTATCTATGCTATCTGTAACTACATCAGACATCTTTACCGCCAGTCTTATGTTTAAGGTTAATCTCTGTGTCTGTACTCTGGAGACCACCTCTTCCCTTCCAGAACCTTCATCCCTTCTCTTCTGTATTTTCACAGTCTACTAGCTATGTTTATATTTAAGTTATAAACAAACTTAAATCTACCATCTTTATACTAGCCCCATCCCAAAGCTTTGCCCTCTAAAACTACATCATCACCACTATCACCACCACCACAATAATAACAAACACTGTTATCATTATTTAGTTTCTACTAAGTGCCAGGCAGGGTGCTAACATTGTTCTATCTGCATGGAAGGTCCTTCCCCATCAGAGATGATACAAAGGATATTAAAACAACTGAGTAGCTACCTAGAAAAAAATTTTTTGGATACTTACTTTATACCTTACACCAACATAAACTCCAGAAGACTCAAAGACAAAAATTGAAACCATAAAAGGACTAGATGAAAACATAGGAGTTTTTTCAATTGCAAGTAGGAAAGGCCTTCCTAAATATAATACGAAATCTAAAAGTTATAAAATAAATAATAAATTCAAAACAGTTTTAAAACTACATAAAACATTAAAAACAAAAAAGGAGGAAAATCTATCTTAATATATAGTCTCTACAAATCAATGAGACCAACAGAATAAAAAGTCAAAGAATATGACCACATTCACCCAAAAAAGAGAAATGTAAATACATTTTTAAAAAGAAAAGAGGTTTACCTCACTCAAAAGAAAGACACATTAAAACTATACTGAAATACAATTGTTTAAATCTACTAGAATGACAAAGATCAAAAAGGTTGATATTACTATTTGTTGACAAGGCTATGGGGAAACAGAAACTCTCATCCATTGCTGGTGAAAGTATACTAAACTGATACAAGCTCTACAGCGGGGAATTTAGTACTATTCAAGAAAATGTAAAATGCACATGCATTCTGACCCAAACAATTTTACTGTAGGACTTTATCCTATAGTTATCCATGCAGGAAATCCAGGTTCAGTTCCTGGCCAATGCATCTCATGCATTGCCACCACCCATCTGTCAGAGGAGGCTTGAAAGTTGCTAAGATGCTGAACAAGTTTCAGTGGAGCTTCCAGATGAAGATGAACTAGGAAGAAAGACCTGGTGATTCTACCGTACTTCTGAAAATCAAATAATGGAAACCCTATGGATCACAACCTCATACATGTGTGAAATGCAATATGTACAAAAACATTCATTACATCATTTGGAATAGAAAAGCCTGGAAATAAGCTATTTAAAGAAATTATGGTATGTCCATGCAATGGAATATTATTCAGCTATCAAAAAGAATGAAGAAATTATGTACTTTCTGACATGAAATAATCTGCAGGATATATTGTAAAACATTAAAAGAGATGGAGAGTATAATAACATTTGTGAGAAAAATTATATGTATGCACCTTTATGCCTGAATATACATGGAAGATGTCTAGAAGAATACACAACAAAATGGTCAAGAGTGGTTGCTCTGAAGAAGGGTACCTATGGTTAGAGATGGGGGTGGAAGACAGACTTCTTTTTACTATGAGCACTTTTTGGATGCTATATTAAAAACAAATAAATTTATGAAAAAATAAACAAACGCTAATGTATTGATTAGAGAGGCCATAGGAAAATGTAGAAAACTCATACAGCTTTTATCACACATGCACCTCTAGTTTCCTTTTTTCCAATATCCTGCCTGTCAGCTCTGCCCCATTCAGAACTGGAGAAACAAAGTATCATTTGTCAGCTAGCTGATAAAACTGTTCTTCACTTTCTTCACATCCTACTGGAAAACTACCAGTACGTTGGAAATTTTATATCGAGTGGACTGCTTTATACTAAGCACCTCATCATCTTTTTATTTATTGTCTTTGATTTACCTTTTTCTGTCAGTATTTTTGTACTCTGGATTTTAAATTAGTAGTCAATCTATTCATAATGTCTAGCTTTTAAAGCTTTTATAGTAGAAATTCTATGTAAATTCTCTTCTCCAAGTTATCAAATTACCATAAAAAACCCAAACCAAACCTGTTGCCATCGAGTCGACTCCTACTCACAGTGACAAGACAGAATTGACCCATAAGGGTTTCTAAGGAGTGGCTGGCAGATTCAAACTGTCGACCTTTTGGTTAGCAGCCGAGCTCTTAACCACTGTACCACCAGGGCTCCATCAAATTACCATATACACCTAAATTTCCAAAACATTTTTTTCATTTCATTTTTAAAATACACCTAAACTTCCAAAACATTATTTTCATTTCATTTTTAAAATACATACTTTGGATATGGCATAAAGAGTAACTCTACTTTCCAGGAATCAGAGTAAAAAAGGCTATTTTGAGGGACATACACAAGTCTGCTGTATGTAAAGGGGGACACTTCCGTGCATCAGACATAAAGATGAAACACTCCAGATTTGCATTTTCCACTCCCACTTCAAACCACACTAAGAGCAGAAGTCTGAAATCTAGCTAGTTTTCTGTTCTTCACTGTTATAATTTCCCCATCTGGAATGAGAACACAAAACTAGATGACTCCTAATCCTTTGTAGTTCCAGGTCTGTACTAATCTATATATTTTTATAATTTGAAACAGTCCTTATCAAAAATCACCCCATCTATCATGGATTGAATTGTGTCTCCCCAAAATATCTGTCAACTTGGCTAGGTCATGATTCCCAGTATTGCATGATTGTCTACCATTTTGTCATCTGATGTGATTTCCCTATGTGTTATAAATTCTATCACTATGATTTAATGACATGGATTAGTGGCAGTTATACTGATGAGATCTACAAGATTGGATAGTGTCTTAAGCCAATCTCTTTTGAGATACAGAAGAGAGAAGTGAGCAGAAAGACATGAGACTTTGCACCAACAACAGAACAGCACCAGGAGCAGAACACGTCGTTTGGACCTGAGTTTCCTGTGCTGAGATGCTTCAAGAACAAGGGAAGACTGATGACGAGGACTTCTCCAGAGCTGACAGAGAAAGAAAGACTTCTCCTGGAGCTGGCACCCTGAATTCGGACTTGTAGCCTACTGGACTGTGAGAGAATAAACTTCTCTTTGTTAAAGCCATCCACTCGTGGTATTTCTGTTATAGCAGCACTAGATAACTAAGATACCATCTTTAAAGTGTTGATTTGAGCCAGAACAAAAAATAAAGAAAGGTGTCTGGTAGTTAGCTGATAGCAGAAAAAAAGTTACCAAAACTTCAAGTAGTTTAAAATGTTAAAATTGAAAACATGATACATGAGAAAACAGTCACGTAGTTAATTTCATTCTTCTGAGGCTCTAAGGAGCCCTGGTGGCACCGTGGTTAAGTGCTCAGCTGCTAACTAAAAGGCTGGCAGTTTGAATTCACCAACCATTCTGCAGGAGAAAGATGTGGCAGTCTGCTCGTGTAAAGATTATAGCCTAGGAAACCCTATGGGGCAGTTCTACTCTGTCCTACAGGGTCGCTGTGAGTCAGAATCGACTTGACAGCAATGGGTTTGGTTTAGGTTTTTTGAGGTTCTAAAATATTGCCACCTTTGTATTTTCAGTGTATGCATGATACCTGAAAGAAACTACTTATTGGTGAATCATTCAAACCCTACATAAAAGAATTAAGACACAACAGAAGATAATTCCTAATTTGTTACTATATAAAATAAACATTTAAAGGATAAAAAGAATAGTAAATATAACAGTCATACCATATTATCATATAGAGAGATGCACATACAGAATACTATGAACACAAATATGGACGTGATTAAGAGCTAGGGTTTCTCAGAGTCCAACATATCTGGATTCAAATGTAATAACCCTGTCTATCACTAGTTATGTAACTGTAAAATTTTTTTTTAATTTTTTTCTTCTTTTTCTCTTTTTTTTTTAATTGTACTTTAGATGAAGGTTTACAGAACAAATAGTTTCTCATTAAACAGTTAGTACACATATTGTTTTATGACATTGGTTAACAACCCCACAACACGTCAACACTCTCCCTTCTCGACCTTGGGTTCCGTAACTCTGAAATTTACATAACCTTTCCAAACCCTCATTTCTTCATCTGAAAATGAAGATAATGCCACCAACCCCACCCAGACTTACTGTAACGATAAATGAGATAGATAATATTTGTAACGGAGCACTGGTGATTCAGTGGTAGAATTCTTGCCTTCCATGAAGGAGATCCAGGTTCAGTTCCTGGCCAAGGCATCTCATGCACAGCCACTACTCATCTGTCAGTGGAGCTTGCAAGTTGCTATAACACTGAAAAAGTTTCAGCAGAGCTTCCACATTAAGAAGGAGCCCTGGTGGTGCAGTGGTTAAGCACTCGGTTACTAACCAAAAACAAACTAGGAAGAAAGGCCTGGCAATCTACTTCCAAAATCAGCTAATGAAAACCGTATGGATCACAATAGTTGGATGCGCAATCATGGGGATGGCGCAGGATCAGGTAGCATTTCACTGCACTGTGCATGGGGTCACCATGAGTCGGTGGCCAAATTCAATATATGTAAACTGCTTTGCATAGTGCCTGGCACCAAACACCCATTCAACAAATAGCTTTTATTACTATTACGTTTTCAGTAACAAAAGATAACAATTTTAATCCCAAGGCTCGTGTTTGAGTACCATTGCCACTGTTACCTGGTTTCCATGGATACTCCTCCAATGAAGTCATACTTACTAAGGTTGCCAGTGACTCTCAAACTGCCAAAAATTAGGGATACTTTCAGTCCTTATCTTATTTGATTCCTCTGCTTTTGAGTCATTAACACTACATACTCCTAAGGCGTCTAGAAAGGGATTCTAAAAGGGCAGGGAATCACTGAAGCATTTACATATGGGATCTATCTTCCACCACTACTTTATAGGGCACTATCCTTTCCCCGGACCTTCAGATGTTGGGCTTCTCTCAATATTTACCTCTTCAGTCCTCTTCTCCTTTCTACGTCATATTCTTCCTGGATAACTTCCAATCCCTTTCATGTTTTTAACTCTAACCTAAAACCAGAAACAAACCCATTGCCGTCTAGCGATTGATAGATTCATAGCGACCCTACAGGACTGAGCAGAACTGCCCCATAGGGTTTCCGAGGAGTGGCTGGTGGATTTGAACTGCCAGCCTTTCGATTGGCAGCCAAGCTCTTAATCGCTGCGCCACCGTGGCTCCAACTCTAATCTACATACTCATAATCCCCAAACCTATTCCTGCCTACACATCTTTCCTAAATGCTTACTCTAAATCTTATTTATGCATTCAACAAATGCTTATTAAAGGGGAAGAAAGCAAATATTTATTAAGCACCCAATACATGCTGGTAGTTTACATCACAGAGGCTAAGTCAGCCACCCAAATCATACCACCAATAAAAGAGGAGTTAGAATTACAACACAGATCTGTATAACTGCTGAGCCCATGTTACTTCTGCGACACCACACTGCCTCTCCAGTGTATCCACAGTGGGTCACAGGCACTGGGAATACAAAAATAAGTAAGACTCAAATATTTTAAATAAAATGTTAAAATACAGGTTCATGAATAATATTTAGGTGAACACATAGTTAAACAACTGTATTGATTCAACAAAATTTATTGAGTATCTAGCATACAGTTCCTAGCATCAAAGGGTCACAGTTTGGTAGAGAAGATTGACTTTATTTAAGCAAGTAATGATAACATATCATGATTATAAACCTATGGTCAAGGAAAAACAAGTGATGCACAAGAATGGGAAGAAGACAAGAGGAGTACAGGGAAGATTTCCTAGAGCAGATGCATAAACTAGGACTTAGAAGATGAGTACATGTTTCCCTGCTAAATTCTGGGTGGGACGGCATTCCAGGCAGGGAGAATGGTAAATATAAAAACAATGGAATCATCTCAGTCCATTCTGAAAACTCCAAGTAATTCGGAAGAAAGACAGGAGTGAGACCTAATACATAGACAAGGATGGACCAGAATATGTGCCGTTCTTTGGGGATAAAGAAAGTAGGCAAGTCAGAGATGTATTTAGGATCTTGAGTTGACAAGACTCGGTGATAACTCAGTTTCTGGCTTAGCTTACAAGGCAGCCAGGAAGAAGAGTAAGGGATTAATACGTTAGAAATCAGAAAAACAAAACAAAACAAAGGAATAAACAAAAAAGTTGAAAATGTCTGATTATACATGATAAATATGAAGTGATAATAGGAAATTGAATTGGAGGAGTATGGCCAGCTAGAGGCAATGTTCAACTTTGAACACTGATCGACCACAAACATTTAGCCAATTGAAGCTGGGCCCTCAACAACAGCACACAATCCTATTTACCCTTGCTTAAGAGCTCAGCTGTCTTCCTAAAACAAATCTGATTGTGCTATTCCCTGACATGTCCAAAACCAAAATGAACTAATACGTATGTCTCATGTGCTAAGAATAGCCTTGTGATCTCAGGAAAAGGATCTCAGTTAGGCCTGGACACTATTTAGCATTTAAAGTTCTGGATTCACAACACCTGAGCTAGTAAGCTACACCACTAATTAGTTAAGTAACCGTGGGCACATGACTTATTTCTCTAAGCTTTAATTAATTGTAAAAAGGAAATAACAACTGTTTGTCTCCTGAGACGTTCTGAAAATTAAATGAGACAATTTTATTCATATGGTAAACACTCAACAAATATTAAGACAAAAAAAGGGGGGAGTGGACATATTGATATACAGGTCAGAAAATAACATAACTATAGTAAAGTTCTTTCTGCCTGGAATGCTTCTCACCGAAATCTTTACAAGGCTGCCACTCTCCCATGGCTTACACACATAATACCTACCATCTTTTGAACTTTCATACGGACAAGCATGCACTTTATATAAACGAATTCATTTAATCCTCATTTCGCCTGCCCCTATAAAGCTAATTAGTCTTATTTTACAATGAGAGAATTGATGTGGAAGTTTAAGTGGCCAATTCAGTATCACGGGGGCAGTGGTTTTTTAGTGGTAGAAATCTCACCTTCCATCTGGGAGACGCAGGTTTGATTCCTGGTCAATGTACCTCATGTGCAGCCACCACCCATCTGTCGGTGCAGGCTTGTGTGTTGCTATAATGCTGAACAGGTGTCAGCAGAGCTTCCAGGTTAAGACAAACTAGGAAGAAAGACCTGGCAATCTACTTCTGAAAATCAGCCAATTAAAATCCTATGGATCACGACAGTCCGATCTACAAGCCATCACAGGGATGGCGCACAACCGAGCAGCATTTCATTCTGTTCAGCATGTCACCATGAGTCAGGGGCCAACTTGGAGGCAGCAAACAACAACATTCAATATCACACAGAAAAGAGCACTCTAGATTCTATCCCACTCTACTCCACCCCAAACTGCTCTCTCAAAATGCACTTAGGAAATGTTCAATGAGAAGTAAAATAGTATAGGAGAATATTTTACCCTTATTTGTAGTCATAAAAATTGGGTTCCTACTATCTAAAACCTTGGGCAAGTCCCTTAATTTCTTCATGCTAAATATCTTTACCTACAATGACAATAATTTGTGTTGTAAGTACGTACACTGTCTACACATAAAGATTTTAAGCTCCTTAAGAGGGCAGGAAGGGGGTAAATGCCATATTTAATACTTCTCACAAAACATAGTATGCATTCAATAAAGTAGGTTTATTTTTTTTAAGTGCTCTTTAAATCCAAAATACCTTCCCTATAAACTTGTATCTATATTAAATTAAAATAACTGTTACAGGCTACGAATTACAGTGACTCGTAATCAAAGAATAAAAAAACCCTTTCAAAACCTAAAAATAGTTTACATAACAATTTTAAAACATAAGCACTTACTACCTTAGGAACTTAGTAATTTAGCTTTAGCAATATATCTTATTCTAATGCTATATCAAATATTCTCATTACAAGAGACAGAAACTTCAGTTTTATGCTTTATCAGTGCAATACCCAGCTTCACAATACAGAAAATGCCCAAATTTTAGGGGACAGGCACATCTTTGGATGTAGCAAAGAATTACTGTCCTATTTATGATAGGAAACTATGTTAATTTTCATGTCATTTATAATGCACTAATTATAATGTCTTTTATAATAATTAAAGTAATATTGAACTCTTTTACGTAGTAGGTATATATTCATTTGTGATCTACTGAACTTTATGGTCCAGAAGCACAATAAGGGTTTAAAATATAATAAATTCCTTAAATAGAATTTAGCATGCCAAAAGCCCTTAATGCAAGTTAAAAAAAAAAAAGTTTTTAATAATGGAATACAGTCTTTTTTTTTTATTTCCTGAAATAATCTTTGGTTTGACTAAAGTTTTCTGCAAATATTTTGTAATATAATTCTTTTTAAAAAACAGCTCTTTCTGCCTTCACCTACCTTAGATCAGTTTCAAAAACAAATGAAAATCACGGAATTCAAAATAGAAAAAGGAGTGAAATCAAGAAGTGCTACGCAAGCATACAGATTTGCATATTATGGGCACAGAAAACTCATTTGTAAAACTCACATTCTTTCAGTATTTCTGATAAATATCGAGTTTCAAACCTTATGTCAAAGCGTAAGCAAAAAAAAAAAAAAATATCCCGTCTTGCTAACACACTTGAAGTTTCATGTGTTTCACTTTGGAAAGAAAGTCAGTCTTTTCGAACTTGACAGTTCTGCCTGACACAAGAACAAAAGGCCTCTATTCTGTCTCCCCGACACCGCCCTCCCCCCCCGGAAAAAGCAGTCCCTTTTCACGCACTAGTAATTCACATTTCAAAATTCACAATCTGTTTCCCCAAACAGAGTCAGTATCCCTAGCGTGTATTAAAACTATGTGACCCCACGAAGCGGGTAAGGGAATGGATGGGCGCCTCCAGGAATGGCTTCAAATCCAAAGCTCAAGGGGAAGTGACACTGGACAACTATCGACACTAGCAATGCAACATCCTTGGAGGGCGTGTCTGGCAGGACTGCAACGTAACACGTCGAGAGAACAGGCCATTCATTAGCTGAGGCAGGCGGCTGGGAGGCGGCTGCCGAGGCCCGACCACTTGGCCTGCCCGGTGCCGCCTCGCGCGAAGCCCCACAGTCTCTGCGCCGCTGGGTCCCCACCCTGTGATCCACTCGCGCCACTGCCATTGACGGTCACTCGCACCCTATGGAAGGTGACTACTCTCCCACTGCCCCCGGGCTGAATGGGACGCGGTCACTAGAGCCCGCTCCACACTGTTCGGGCCTGGCCGAACCCTCCCTCACCAGTCGCTAGATGAAACTGCGCCGCTGGTCTCCGCGGTGTGGGCACACAGCTGCGCAGGGACTCATCCTCAGTGAAAGCAACAAGAGAGACTGAAAAGCGCCAGGGGGGCCAGTCCCCAGAGCCGGCTCTGCTGCGGAGGCGGCTGCAACCACAGCCGCGACTACAGGAACCCGGAAAGGGGGCAGGGACAGAGGGCCGACGCGGGCGGTACTCAAGAATAAGACGGGCATTGATTGGCTGTGGCTCGTGTATGCCTCATGAGGATTGGCTGGTGCCTATCCAGAAGGGCTCGCGTGACAGCATCTAAGCTATGGCCTTTCCCTGCAGCCCCAAAGGAACTTGACCCTGCTGATCTTGGGGCCGCCGGAGCAGGCCAGGGGCGGTGGAAGGCTGCCGCTGGAGTCTCTAACGCCAGCAACTAGGGTCCCTTTCAGTGTCGACAGTCGCAGCAGGAGGCCAGGAAAGGAGGATAAACCCAGGGTGGAGAAGACAGAGGGATGCCTTGGGTGCAGGATCACTAATGCAGCAGAAGCCAAAAGCATAGGCATGTTCCACAAAAAAAAGTTTCCTCCAGTCGCCCTAGCAGTGGGGTCACTGGAAAACCATAGGCATCCTCTTTCGGAGCCGCAGCCCTGCCCCTCCCTGGCTCACTGTATTACACACTCCCCGGAGTCAGTTCCTGGATTAGAAGGCGTCACTGCTTTCTTTGATCGCCACTGCGGGAACAGCTGGCGACCGCTGTCACGTCACTCAGTGCCTGACGCCAGGCTTGCACTATCTCTACCCGCCCCCTCTTCTTTAACTCTGGATCTACAGGCCATTTTAAAAGTGGTCAAGTGAAAAAAATTAGGAAAGACAGTAGGCAATAATCTATAGTAGGATACTGAATGCGTAATACAGTAGGCACTCAGTAAATGTTTAAGGAGTGGTGTGTGACTGGGAACAAACAACACCAGGAGTCAAGAGTTAGTTTTACAGCTCTGCCACGTTGTTAGTTAGACAAGTCACTTAAGTCTCTCTGATCTATAAATCGAAGGAGCTGGACTAGAAGTCTTCGGTGTTATTCTATTTTTTTGATACCTTTTTTGTTGGTGGGTAAGTTACTAGCTCAAAGTCACAAACTGGTTAGTGAAAGGGAAAGGGAAGGATTTACTAGGACCCAGGTTTCCTGCTGACCTTTCCAATACAATATTCTGTTTCTTTGTGCCTTATTCTAGGTGTCCTACTTCCTACTTTAACATGTAACAAAAACCAGTTTATAATGTGAAAAACATCAGTGATTGTGAAAATAAGCTATATAAGATAACTTTGATATTCATAAACAAAGAAGTCAGTAATGGCAAGTAAAGCTAATCATGTAAATGCATTAACCTGAGTTCAAATTTTATGTCTGTCTCTTGTATCTGGCAAGGTACTTGGCTTTTCTGAAGCCTCGTTTCCTCATCTTAAAAGTAGGAGCAATAATACATTTTTTTTTATTGTTGTAATTAAATGAAGTTTACATTTCACGTTAGTCTCCCATACAGAGATTTTTTTTTTTTACATACATTGTTATCAGACCCCCAACTGTCACCCCATTCTGCGACAGCACACTCCTCCTCTCCACCCCTGATTCCCCATGAACATTCAACCAGCTCCTAACTTTCTCTGCCTTCCCATCTCACCTCTGGACAAGAAGCTGCCCCTTTCGTCTCTTGTATCTACTTGACTAAGAGGCACATTCTTCACAAGTATCACTTTATGTCCCACAGTCCAGTCCAATCCCCGGCTGAAGAGTTGGCCTTGGAAATTGTTTTAGTTCTGGGGTGATAGGGAGTCCAGGGGCCATGCTTTTTACTGGACATTCCATGCTTTACAGTCTCAGTCAGACCATTAAGTCTGGTCTTCTTACTAGAATTTGAGTTCTGCATCCCATCATTCTGCTGCTTCATCAGGGACCCTCTGTTGTGTTCCCTGTCAGGACGTTCATTGGTGGTAGCCGGGCACTATCTAGTTCTTCTGGTCTCAGGCTGATGAAGTCTCTGGTTTATGTGGCCCATT